TGATACATAAAACCATAGAACTCAAAGAGGGTGTACTTTCTTTTTCACATGACTGTATCTCCAGGCCCCAAAGGACCCAAAAATATTCTTATGAAGTAATTATTGTGGGCAGTTGGAAGCCAAACTTTTGCTTTGAAGTACCTCTCCAAACACCCAGAAGAGTGGCAAACCTCATTGTTACTGCCTTGCTGAAGGGGGAAGGAGGTATAAGTGTCATTTGATTAGTGGGAAGAAAAAACAGTGCAGAGGGGCAGAAGAGAGAGAGAAATGAACAATGAATCAGTGGATCCTTAATGGGGATCAGTATGTGGGGTGAGTGGATCATTTATGGGAGAAATAGATTTTGTATTATGAATAGTTAGATAAAATCTGAGAGGTGTTCTTGAAAGAAATGTAGTTCAAGGAATTCTGTGTTTGTGGTTCTGTCTCTACACTGCCAACATGTATATTACCAGCACCATTTTGCAGACATATGGGTTTGGTCATGCTCATCGAGTTAACTATTGGGGAATGACATACCTCCATAGCCACTACTTTGTGATGACATACATGACATATTCCTCAAATTTTAAATGTACTTATATCTATTTATAGGCCACCTCACCTAGCAATTCTAGATGGCATACACATTTCTAGGATTTTCCTAGGAAAATCTTAGGATGGCTAGGACTGTAAGTAGTTGTGCCTTCTAGTACAAGACAATGGAAGCCTCTGACCTGGAAGATAACTTGATAATCCATCCTCCGTATATTTGAATAATCACAAACTGGAAAAGGGTGACAACATTTGTGTTCATACATATTGAATTAGGGCCCATACATGATGGTCAAATGGTCAAATAGGACTTTTCATTTGACTTGGATACTTTAACCTTTCTATTATACTCTTCTAGATTGGTTCACACACATTGGTTTGTTTAACCATGATTCACTGAATAAACCAAAATGGCTAAATTCACATAATATATTAAACCAAGAACCAAACAAACCACATTATGAATTAGTAGAGTGTTTAAACTCACCCTTCATTGTATAGAAATTTAGTCAAAATGCATTTCAACAGTAAGTGATCTAAAAATGAAGTGGTAAGAGCACATCTCTGTCTTTGGGAAAACAGATGGGGATTTCTCCATCTGTTAAGTTACTGTCCCAGAATAGACAATGCAAGGACACAGTTGTGACATCCAACCCTTGCCTAAACATTTAGGCTGCTCAATCCTATTATACCATATTCAGTCTTAAATTGAGATCAACAAAGTGAATTTTTAAATAATTGAATATCAAAAAAGTGATGCAGTTACCAAGTGGGCACTACTTTGAATACAAAACCTATGTGGAGGAAGTAGTCCTGTTTATCTCCAGGGGTCTCTGGATTAACAAGCAGATGCTGCTAATGGTTCCCATAGAGTAGAAACTTGGAAATGTCTGTAGGAAAATTGATTTCTTGAGCAATAGAGCAGCAAGACAGAGAATTACTTTGATGCACTACTGCCAGTGCAGAAAAGGACCTGAACCACAGGAGGGATCCTATAGAATTGATTGACCCAGCATTCACAAATTTCTATGAGTTTATGTGGCCAGGAACAAGCCAGAACACTGTGCTATTTCATTTTGCTGTTCAACAACTCTATTTTGTCATTTTTTTAGTATTTTTTTAAAATAAATTCTCCACAAACTTTTTTTGTGTAGTTTAATTAGAGTGGGAATATTGTGTAATGTCAAAGCATGGGCATATTATGAGGTGAATTAATTCCAACTTTGTGGAATTTTCTTAATAGAGACTGGAAAAATAATTTATCATGTTGTTTAAAAAAGAGACTGTCATATTTTCCCAGGGAATACATATAAAAGCAAGTATAAGCTTTAAAATAAGTTTCTTGCAGCTCAGGCTTAGAATAGTGATATCTAGTACTGGAAATTCACTCCCATTAACCTGGAGAACAAGAAGCTGAGTCCATGGGTTTCAACTGGCCTATTAAAATAGAAGTTGATTCCCCTTCTTGCCAAATCCAAGAAATATGTTCAAACTCCACTGCAACTGTGCTACCCCTATATGCCAGCTGTTGCATTATATATGTATTCTGATGCCTTTATTCCATATTATCTGCATTACTGCAGTTAACATTTCTTGACTGTCAGCAGTCCAAAGAATAAAATTTAATATATTTTCTATTTCCATATACTAGACACTGTCCATTAGGTTCCCTGAAACAGAGCAAGTGGTTTAAAAACCATTGAAGCACCTACATTTCTTAATAATTCCTTATTGAGAAAACCATCTTTACTTTTGAACTGGATGTTGTCCACATTTTAGGGGAAGAAAGTGTAAAGGAAAGACAATATTTTACCTTTCATTTTTACTATTTTGGGTTAAATCTTTACAGGTTATTTTCCTCAACTGTAAGCGATGTTAAAGTTTGCTTTTCTGTTTTAGTCTGAAAAAGTGCCAGGTCCCTTTCACAATATCATTTTCTATCCTTCACCAAAGATTCTGTATAGAGACAGGAGAAGGAGTTGTTGAGTTTGACTCCTGGTGGAGAATTTCATGTTGTTTTCTTGGTAGTGTTTTCTAATTGCCTTCTTGTGGAATGCTTTTTCATGTTCCCAATCTAGCCTCATCCTTGGGCTTTTCTGCTGGCCTCCCATCTAAATACTGACCAGGTCCAACCCTGCCCAGTCATTCTCAGAGAAGATGCAAAAAAATAGAATATTTGCATTGATGGCTGAAGGTGGCACCTGTACTTTAAAATGCTTTCAAACACTGAGTGAGATTGTAGCTTTGGCTCAATTCCTTTTTCATACTCTATACATCTAAGTCAGGTTGCAATATATTTTACTTCACAGCAGGCAGGGCAACAGAGTGGGTGAGAGGACATGGAGCAATGAAGTGGGGAATACATCTGCACTTATGTTCGGAAACTCAAGAGTGTTTCCCAAGCATGGCATCCTAGGCAATCCCAGGAAAAGGTACTGGAGTTTTTGGCAAATCAGTTGTCAGTTCTCACAATACATTCTGTTCAGTTTTATGCTGTGATGAGCAGTGTGCTGGCACTGGTATAGCATCGTAGCTAGGAAGCATAGCATCACGCTTGGAATATTCCACAAAGATCATTTAGTTGACCCTGTTGATACAATAAATCATTACTACAACATTTATAAGCTAACCCATGAATCAGAATGTTCTTTGTTCTTGCCTCTGCTGTATATTTGCTCAGTTTTTTAAAGGCAAGTTACTGCTTCTTAACTTCTACACCCATCCTTCATTTGCAGTATACAACTAAAAATGCTGACCTACCTTCCATAGTTATTGTAATGATTACCAATAATAATAGTAGTAATAATAATAACAATACCTAAAGTAATTGAAAACTCTAAAGCATTACATAAATAATAATATTTTGACAGAGTTTGTTTTTTTCCTGGTCTTGCGTGCCTAAAGACAACTTTGGCACACTTTTTTTCTGTAATTGGCTGCTGTCCTGGGGAAATGAAATCAATCATGCATATGGTAAAATAATGATGGGCTAAAGGGGTCAGGAAAACCAGTTTAGAAATTTTCATCCAATAATAAAATAAAGGAACCTTTAAACCTATGTCAAAGCTATCTTTGAATTTGAGGGGCCCTTAAATAATAGGCAAGTTATTCAGTAAGGGCCTGTACTTTAAACACTGATAATAAAACAAAAAAAATCTGCTAATAAGACTTATTAGATGGCACTTGTGAGAACAACTTCTTTCTTTTGCATTCCTTCTAGTTTCTCTCTCTTCCTTTTCTTTTTCTTTTTTTGCAGTAAGTATACATTTATGTAGTGGAAGTTTTATTTTTATTCTAAAGCTCCATATCATTTGCATTTAATGCCAGCTTAAAAAGAAACCAGTACTTTGTATTATCTTTCCCTCAGGCTAACTTAATTTAATCTTAGAGCACACCTTATAAATGTTTTGCTTCTTTTAGTAGCATTTGGTTAGGTGAGATGAATAGAGATGAAGTATTGTGCAGTGGTTGTATCTAAGGCTAGGTAATTGTGCATGTGAGTGCGGACAATAAGATTGATCCTCATACTGGAACTGTGTGCTGGGTTATTAGTAACATAACAGATGTCTGGTTGCCCTTCATAGCTGTGACACCTAACTGAATATAAATACCACTTGTAGAAAGTGCAGGGATAGGGCTACTGGATCTGGTTTGCAAAAATCGGAATGACCACCTGATGGCAGCAAAGAGGCACAGAAGACTATAGCTCCTTGCTTCCATATAGTGGTTGTCCAGAGTTTTGTAGCCCAGACTTGGTACGATACAGACGCTACATGGGCTTCAGAATACTGAAACGAAAATATGATATTTTTAAATATTTACAAGCCTATCTGTCATTCTTCCATGCACCACCTGTTACAATCTCTGAAAGTCCACCAAGAAGTGGGAAACTAAAGAAGGCCTCAGTTTCTCAGTTCTTACAAGTATTTTTTCAGCTCTTCAGAAAATATAATTTAATAGTTAACATTTACAGCAAATGCTCCCAGGAGGCAGCATTATTTACAGTGGCCAAGACCAATTCTCTCCTTTCCCATCCCACAATGCCATTGGCTCAAGCAGCTACAGACACTCCAGAATTTCGTATCTGGATTATCTTTCTTCTGCAGCACAACTAGGTGCTTAATTCTGTAAGACACAATTCTGGCTCTTGCTTCTCAATGTGTTTTCCTGGCTACATTGCTTGTTCTACTGCCACTTGCCAGCAGGGAGTGCACCATCCACAGGGATAAAGCTGAAAAACCAGATTCTAAGCCTCTTCCTGTTGATAGTTTTCTGGTAGCTTCTGGAATGATGGATGCATCTTGACCTTGCACTTGCTCAGCACAGAAAGCCAGGAACAATTCTCCCTATTACAGCTTCTTCATTGCCCACAAGGTGGCACAAAGTCCCCACTCTATGATAGTCTATCTGAAAATTGCAAAGGGTTTAAAATACTGCTCGTTAGGAAGTAGCCATAGCAGGTGGGGATGCTAGGAACATAATAACATGTGAAACAGCGGTGGACAGCCAGTGTTTTCCTGGAGGCACTTCTATCCTCTTTTCCTGGTGACATCTGCACACCCCTGCCAAGAAATGCCCCAAGGGGGCCTCGTAAGTCTGCTCTTGGCAGTGGGGTTGGGTAGAGCTACCGATACCGGCAGGCCAGGGCATTAACATTCTTGACCACATAGAAGCTCATAGTGAGAGGTGGAATAATCAGGGTTCGGCCAGGGCGAAGAGGACGAGGCTTCAGATTTGGGAGGGTTCCGTCATCCAGCATAGTGAGTAGCTGTCCGTTAAGCTGCACAGACCTGCACACAGACCAAACGCATGAAAAATGTTTTCAGTCAAGCATGAGAAGAAAGCTGTTCCTTCCAGATAATGGAAAGAAGGTAGGACTTGGAGATGGCCATAGATGTTTTTCATAACAATGATAAAAGAAAGAAATACACTAGACAACAGACTTCAAGATAGATGGCCATTAGCTTTCTCTTTATATCTCTGCTATGGAGCTGGAACTTAAAGATAAGCTTCTATGAAAGGACAAGGCTAGGACATAGTGACTGCATTGTCAGGTAAATTATACCAATACTAGAATCACATGGATGGTGGGGGCTGAGAGTGTGGGATTCAGGACAAGTAAAATACTTCACAGAATGTACAGTTAATCTAGGGCATGCATGACCACAAGGTGTAGTGATGGTCAACAATCTGGAAGACTTTAAAAGCAGATTGGACAAATTCATAGTGTACCGTTAACTGACACCTAGTTATGACTCATGACCTTGGAATATATTTCCAAAACAGAGACAGTACGTGACTCAATACCGCTTGCTGAGAACATGAGAGAGAGGCCTACTGTGCTTGCATTCCACTTGTGGGTTTCCCACAGGCACTTCACTGGCCATTAGGAAAATGGAATGTTAGACCAGATAAGCCTTCTTAGGTCTGGTACAATAGTGTACTTCTTTTTATCTGATTTTGTGCAGGGCACCATAAATATGCAGAGAATAAAGTAAGAAAGTGTATCTGAATAGTTTCCATTATGAAGCATGGAAACCTCTGGTCAGGTGTGCGTGGGTGGAATTTTTGGGAAAATAGAATTGCTGGGTTCTCCATCAATATTTTAAAGCTGGATGAAATTATATACAGTGACAGGTTCCAAACAGGTAGCCCTTTTCTGTTTACAGCACAAAAAAATATGTGGTTTCTTAAAAGCAAACATTGATTCACAAGATTCATTACAGCATAAGGTTTTGAGACAGCAAAAAGATGGAAGTTAAGGTATCTGAGTAGTTCAGTGGCAAGTAGCACATCACAGGAGGGCATGCATGTACGGATGAATAAATGGAGCACAATGCTTGATATCTTGATTAGTAAAATGTCCTCTTAATGGGTTCTCTTGGTAATGGCCTTGAGCTGGACAATAGCACTCACCTAGACTGAAGTCCTTCCTGACCATAGGGTTGTAGCACATACTGATGAACAAGCTTGTCCCGAAGGGTCCCCACCAACTTGATTTTCTTTCGTGACCGATGCAAGTTGATGATGTAAATTGTGATAGAACCACGGACATAATTATGGCTGTGAGAGAGATAAGAGTTTAAAGGTGAACAATTTGAATACTTTTTAATAATAATGTGTTAGCTCTAGAATTAAGTATTTTCTGTATTATTTTTCAATCCTAACATGAAATTCTAGTCATAGGAACCCCATTTTGGGACAAAAACTGTGGCCCCTTTTACCTAGTTTAACTGCCTGACAACATGAATGGTTTCCTGCAGTTCAATCCAGGGTGTTCTTCTGTCATGTCAATTTTCCTTTGTGTCACCTTGCAAATAAAGTTTTGGCTAAAGAATGCTCCCAACATAGTCTGCAATAATTGCCAACATGATTCCGTGGTCTTAATGTAGCTGCTAGGGACTGTTGTTGTTTTCAGAGCAGCTAAGGTCCTATTTTTCTAGTAAGGTGGGACTAGATAATGTTTTTGCTTCAAGATCTAGCTTGGGTCATAAGAAATACCATAAAATTGAACAACATGATTTGTATGGGTTACATGGGAGGATAATGTTGTCATCTAGGTATAGAAGCATCAATATTGTCCCTACTGGAAAAAGCTAGTGCATATTAGCTGAGTAAATATAGCATTTGATGGTCTAGAGCAGTGTTTCTCAACCTCAGCAACCTTAAGATGTGTGGACTCCAAGAATTCCCCAGCCAGCATTCTGGGAACTGAAGTCCACACATCTTACAGTTGCTGAGGTTGGGAAACACTGCTCTAGAGGATACTGGCTTTTTAAACGTAAGGGAGCAGGGCTGATGGAATTCTAGTACAAAGTTGAATGAACAGTGTTCCAATTCTACTATTCTTTAATTACAAGTGGCTATTAACATGAGTAGGAAAGTGGCAACATGTGAGACAGGTGCAGCTACTGCATTTCTGATCAATGGGATGATTAAGTGGGTTTGAAGTTTTTAATGTAGTTTGCAGGCAGCAATAGGATACTGGCTAGAACCTTACAATTTTAAGTAAAATCTTCTGATTTAGCTGCAATCTGCAACCATGTACATGCAGAAGAGCTGCCTGCCTTATTTTACAGGACAGAAGAAAGCTATATTGTATGCTAAGAAAACTTTGGGGGAATATTTGAAAGCTAATAGAGTGGTTAGACGCATATGTTGGGAGTCCCTAGCTGAAATCTCAACTAGCCAGATGAATTGGTTTAGTGGCCTTTGGCAATTTTTTTAGTCTGTTCCTCAGTCTAAGTCTCTCGCCTGTAGGATGGTGGA